TAATTATTTGTACGTCTATTTATTTTAAAAACCAGTGATGTGTCATCAGCAAATAATACCATCTGTGGTTCATTCCGGAATAAATGCGGCAAGTCATTTATATAAGCCAAAAATAGGAAAGGGCCTAGTATTGAGCCCTGCGGTACACCCATAGATATGCTAGCACCCTGTGAGTTTACCTTATTTACTTGCACCTTAAGTTGCCTATCCCGAAGGTATGACTTTAATAGATTTAGCGATACCCCTCTAATGCCGTAGTGTTCCAGCTTCAGCAAAAGCGTTTATATAAGGATGGTACTATAGGCACTTTATAATGTCTGCCTATTCCCATTGGACTAAAGTGCATGATAAAACTAGTATTTCTCTGTAACACAATATAAAAGAATTCAATTTCTAAACTTATAGGAAAATGGTACTAACTTTATGATAGGTGATTCAAAACAAACTCTAGATAACTTCAAATATAATTATTTGAACAAAGTTTTTTTAATAACAAATTGCGCTGCTACTGCAGCGTGGCTACTTGCAGAATGCTGCTCATAAATATGAGTCTCTAGCATGGCTTGAAACTAGTAGAGTTCCTCGTCAAATAATTACGTGAGTAAGTTGAAAAACATAATAATTAATTTAGGATATTTCACGAAAGTTATCATATAAATATTTTTTTACGAATTTGTTTACAAGGACATCGGAAATGCTGTTTAGTCACTTAAAAAAAAAAAACTTTTAACAAACAAGTTAATATATGTATTTTCTTAAATATAACTTACATCATATTTATTACATTTACATTATTTACTATTCTCCTCAATCGTTTAATATTTTACTTTATCCCCAAGGACATCTTCATTTTTATGAAAGAACCTATAAAAACCATCAATAATTCTTTTTTGGAAGCTTTGAAAACATGCCTTTACACCTTTTAGGAACCCAACAACTTTGTTTTCTTTTATTTCTTCTCTTTCGAACTCAGCATCGATGTGTATGCTAACACAATTCTTTTTGTTTTTACCTTTATTATTATTCGCTTCTGTGACACTAATTGTGTCTGTTGCATTAGCTAGATTTAGTTCAGGTTTGATCGTGTAGTAAGGGTCTATAGGCCCTGCTTTAGTTCTATTATCTGGTATGTCTATAACGTTTTCTGTTACTTGGTATGATCCATAAGGCGGGTAAGATATGACAGCTTCAGAATTTTGGGCTTCCATATCCTCTTTTTCTTTATTGATTTCATTTGTATCATTTTGTATTTTTTTCTTGATGCCAGTCAAATTAGGAGGTATTGCTGCACCACCTGGAGGTTCGTCTATCGGTTCATTTACTAGTTTTCGTGGTATATGGACGTTGTAAACTATGTGGTCTGGTGACGGTAACAATGTTTGAGATGAGGTATCGGCTGCTAAAATTTTCGTTATGAAAACCTGTGAAAGAAATTTAATTATTTATTAATCTAAGATTCCGCCCGCCGACCGCCCTTAGAGGTCAATCCTCTAAGGAGAGCCAATCTGTTTAAGACTCATAAGCGACTTCAAAACTCGGTAAATACCAAGAAAGAGGAAAATAAAGACCAACATTAAAAATACAAATAAAATCGAAGTAACTAGCTGTGTTATCTAAAACTACTTAATATCCAACAAACAGAATTTGAAGGGGAAAAACTAACAACAATTTTAAAATAAATCGCAAATAAAATTTTATGTACAGCACAAAAAATTACAATCACCAATTAGATAGAGTGGGTCACCACTCACCACCCACTATTTTCCAATTGCTACAAAATTAAATTCCATCTCGAAACAAAGATAGCTAAATTATTAAAAACATTATTCTTAATATTGGGAAGATATAAAGACGTAAATAAGATACATCCTTTGATTACGATTACCGAGGTGAATAACATTTGGAGTTCGCTCAAGAGGTATAATAACTTCAAGAGTATGTTCAAAGACCTTTATATTTGTACCTAATATTATATATAGCTTATAATTTACTTTTTATGTTGATGTATCAGTTTCATCTTTTTAAATTAGTGTGGTATCTATGGCTAAATCTTATTTCGTTTCTTATTTATTGGGTTTGATTTCCTAGAATGTTTGTTGTGATGGTTCATTATCTTACTTTATTTTAATAAACTGCCATAATATTATTATTTTATTCTAGAAATGGTACAAACGTATTTCAAATTAGATAATGGATTCTTGTCCTCTCTCTCTTGTCTCAATATACTTTACTATCAATATACCATGTACGTTTTCAACAAAGCTAATATATCAAAGTTGTTTAAATTTTACCTCAAAATATAAAAAAAGTTATTAAAAAATTCTAGTCTAAGATATAAAATGAAAATAAAAGAAAACTATTAGATACTATTAGGTAAATAAATACGAATATAACTCAGACAATTGTAAGACAACTCACCAACGATATAAATAATCGCACAGACATTATAAACACTAATAATAGACCAAACGAGTCAGTCCACAAAATTAAACTGATACAAAATAAATTCTGACACAATAAAATCCACAAAAACTACGGGTCTTATCGGCAAATTTACACCAAATTCACTTTTCACTGTACCAATGGAACGCCAGGTCTCTTTTAGTTTTTATAAGTGACATGAACCGTAGATATGTACAGAATTACTCATGAATTTAAGGTGAGATCCTGATACAACAGACAAAAAATCGCGATATATTTTCTTAAGTATCGTGACGCAAAAACATTCTAAAGCCTAAAATAGGTTCGACCAAGATAAAGACAGTTCTAATAATGTTAAGTTCAAGAAGTCACGATTAATCGCAAAAAATGAAGGAAAATGTTATTTTAGCTGTTCACTTCAGTGGATTGGATATAAAAAGGAGCACTTTTTTAATTACTTACATTGAAAGTTTTTTTGTGTTAAGAAAAACTGTGTCGATAATTTTGACAATGGTGGCGTCTGTTTAAGTAGTGGTTTTATTAAATAGTAATGATGTGTCCGTAAAATTACACTCTTTTCAATATTGGCAATTTATATTTTAGTCTTTAGTGAAATGATGTAGATAGGCACAGGCTTTTTTATATTCAGTAAATTTTTAACTTTACCTTCTAAAACTAAGCAATTATTTCGTTTGCTGTCTTTTTTTAAATCAGGCTGTAATTCAGATGTAAAGTAATAACATTTCGAAGATTATAAGAACAATAATATATAAGTCAAAAAAATTCTTCTCATTAAGACCACACCTTTAATATTTACTATAAAAAACGCAACAGTCATACTGTGACTACTGCCGGGAAATCCTTTCCATTCGGATTGTTTTATACATTGCTGAGTGATGTCTCATTGGCAGGCTAGTCCTAGGAATCTAGGAAGCACTGGATGATATCCTGGATCTAGCTAACTTCTGTTAGATAACCTTGAAGATGTTTTTACGAAAATGCTTTGGGACTTTAGTATCTAAGTGATTTTGAAATGCCATTAACATGTCCTAAATTGTAAGAAATCCCTAGCCTAATTAATCACTAAATAGGTGACATATAACGTAATTTTGGATTTCATCAACCAGGTAAGTGTCACCTAACAGTACAAGTAAGGGGATTGTGTAGGTGGTCTCTCAAGTTAAGTAATTCTTAGTTAAGAGATGGTTTTAGTGTAGTCTGTGAAAACGGCACAAATAAAATAAAATTAAAGTCGACGGAAATAATTGAAGATAAGTCAACTAGTAATAAATGAAACTAACGTGGGTAAATAATAAAATCATGAATAGTTCTTATCTATTACCTAATTGCAGCGCGACATTTCAATACCGTTTTTATTATTTAGAGGTATTTATTAAAGGTATACCGGTTTTATAAAGTAATTACTTAGAATTTTATGGTATTAACATTTAGGTTTTATGTGTCTTAGATACCTAGGTATAGGTAGAGATTTGGGGTCGCTGTCATTGCAGTCCCCTCTTTGAAGAGTGACTGACCTACCGCCTGAAGCAACTAGCTAAGCAGGTGCTTACCAGACACGAAAGTTTCTGTAGGTTCCTGTTTCAGATTGGGCGGGAGGAAACGCCCGGATGTCATCACTGCGAGGACCTGGAGGAGCATACGGTGGCGGTGTGTCCTGTACGGGCTAAGCACCGCCGTGTCCTCAGGGATGTGATTGGCGACGGCGACCTCTCGTGTCCGGCTCTGGTTCAGACAATGGTACGGAGCGAGGGGGACTGGGATGCTGTCTCCTCCTTCTGCGAAGTTGTCATGCTAGCTAAGGAAGAGGCGGAGCTCGTGTGGGATCGAACCTCCTCACGCCCCAGCCGTCGCGAGAGACACTCCGGGCGTTGGGGACCGCGAGACGATCTCCGGCCACGGACGGCGAGCACGGGTGACTCGACCAGAACCATCCCCGAGCGTACCGCGCGCGCCTCAAGGAGTCATCAGACTACCAAAGATGGGGCCCAACAGGGCTGATGCCGATACGGAGCCGCGGAAGACTTAACGGGTTGCCGGGGCTCCTGCTCAAAGTGCAGGAGCAGGAACGGGGTGGTTATTAGTCAGTAAGAGTCTGACACTCTCTCTCGCCTCATCCGGGCGAAATCTAATAAAGATATATTCAGTACAGGAACGGTATCCATTGATTGGCTTCCATTAAAAATAATGAATTTATAACTTATGTTATGATCTACACTGTACCTGTACCTACTAAGACCAAGACTCCAAACAGACGAACAGCATTTCAACTGCAAAATGCAGTATGAACGCAGTTGACACGACTGCAATAGAACTCGTCGGTTCGCTTGTTTGGTACTGCAATATACTGCAATCGGACTGCACGTTTAGTATGCAGTTCAATTACCACTGCCTCATTGGCCAAATGGTCGCAAGTGCGACTGCCGGGCAAGGGGTCTCGGGTTCGATTCCCGGGTCGGGCAAAGTAAAACTGGGTTTTAAAAAAATCTCAGTGGTAGCACGGATTCCGGAATTGAACCCGGTATATGGCAATAGGCTTACCCCCTATTACATGAGACTCATAACATAAATAGTGAAAAGTGGGTGTTACATTGCACAGTGGCATTAAGTGCCGCAATGTGCACCTCTGCCTAACCCTTCGGGGATAAAAATAACATCACGTTATGTTATTTTTCATGTTATGTTAAATTGCAGTCGTGGTATGACTGCAATTGAACTGCAATTTGCGGTTGGATATCAGTTGACACGTGGTCCGACAGTCTAGAGCCTATGTTTTATAATTTTTACACTTTAATTCTTTTACTCTCTTTTTATATATCTCCAAACAACATTACTTGTTAATAAAAAAATGTGTTTATTACTAACAACTTCTCACAGTAAACTCGGATAGTCATTCTGGGAATAACGTTAAAATATAAAACGATGCGAAAGGTCACACTTTCCTCTTTCCTTATATTCTGACAACTTGTGAATACTCCGAATGCTATAAATGTACTAAAAAAAGTTTCTATAAACAATGCCCTTTCTGTAGTTGGGTAAAAAGGTCCCCTAAATACCTACCTATTTAGAAAAGAGTAAATATTCAAGTATCAAAGTTTATTATAGCATTTAATACCTAACCCCATAAAGGATTTCTGTACTTTGGACAGTCTGAATTGCGGTATAGCTAACTTATTTTTGCCTTTAGTATTAAAATTGTGTCTATCGCTTCTTTTTTCAAACAATTGCCTATTTTTCCTTACATACATTATATTTTCATATTTAGATTGACAGGGCACCGTTAAAATATTTATCGTTTTAAACAATTCTCTCAACGATTCGCAACGGCATAAGTTATATATTGCTCGGATAGCCCGCTTTTGCAGAATAAATATTGATTCTATTTCTGCAGCTCAACCCCACAACAAAATGCCGTACGACATAATGCTGTGGAAATAACTAAAATAGACAAGCCTTGCTGTATCTACGTCCGTGAGCTGTCTAATCTGTCTAACTGCAAAAGCAGCTGAGCTCAATCTCCCCGAAAGCGCCTATCGACTCAAACGTCCGCGTCACGTCAGCGCACACGTACCAAATTTCATCAAAATCCGTTGAGTAGTTTCAGCGTGATCGACAAACAAACATCCAAATATTCAAACAAATAAATTTCCACATAAAAAATGTGATTTTGTCTGTGTATTTGGTGCATTATGCCTATTTTTTCTTCTATAAATTAAATTTTTTCTTCCTTACTTTCCATTTACAGACCTACACAGTACACAAAACATATTCAGTACGTGTAACATAAGAGGTAATAAAATAAATCTAGACAGAGGTCTTAATATCTTTTGTTCTTCTCAACAATAAACCGGACGCGACCAGCAAAGTATGACACATAATACACAGGTATCAGAATTCTTTTGATACTTCCAATAATGGCTGACCAGTTATTAGGTATATCCGTATAGTATCCATACATAGGTACGTTTGTCTTCTGAATCATACAATCTTTTCCGATGATGATAATGCAATTTTGAATCAATTATGAAATTATATTGTGATTGATTCAGTTCAATCCACGAAAAAAAGATTTCAAGTGTGTTAGAGCCCTGCTTCGAGAATGGGCCGATTAGACCGAAGGGATACCACGGCCTCGCAGAAAACCGACGTGAAACAAAGATTGCGTTGTGATTCGTCGTGTGAGTGAGGTTACCTGAGGCCCAGTTTCCCCCCTCCCCCATCTCCCCAATCCCCGAATTCCCAACAATCCTCAAATTCCTAATCCCCCAAAGGCCAGTAACGCACTTGTAACGCCTCTTTTGTTCCAGGTGTCTATGGGCGACGCATTGTTTTCCATCAGGTGATCCGTCTGGTCGTTTACCGGCTTACCCCATAAAAAAACATAAAGCTGCAGATTTTTTACCATTAGATACCCAAAGCCACTAAAATATAAACTAGGTATACTTTTTCATTATTTTAATCAATTGTGTCAGGGGTCAAATAATCCTAATTATTTCTCTTAACACTTTGAGCACCGTCATTATAGACAAAATTAAAGAACAATAGGTTGCGGTCACCGGTGACCGCTTGGTGTTTGACAGTTTAATATAGTATTAGGGAGTAGAAACTGATAATCCACAATGTGTCATACTTTGTTAGACCACAAACTAAAATTGCAATGTAGGGTCGTCATGGTTAGCACACTTTCAACCGGCACGACTCCGGCAAGGATCCAACCCTGCAATCATCTTGCCATTTAAATATGAAGTTTGAACCCTATTACATGGGACTCATAACATAAATAGTGAAAAATAGGTGTTACATTGTACAGTGGCACTAAGTGCCGTATTGTGGAAAATAAAAGGGATGGACCGCGTGATTTTATATGCATATGTCAATATAAAAAGCTGTAAGCGCACCGCCTGCGCGTCGGCCGTTTCCAAAGCAAAAACGTCCGAGGCGTGCCGGAGCCGTACTGCAGCCGTGCCATTATTGTGTGCGATATCCTTAAGCTGTATAGCGTGTGTACACTTACTATAATTAAAGAAAAGAACAAATCATAAGTGTAATACATAATAGTCCACATGTTCGTGCAAGGTGTTAACTCCACAATAACATGTTGTAATACATTAGTCGGAATTAATGTAACTCGAGTACAGTTCAGTACAAGT